TCTCTAATTTCTTCATCTTCAACCCCTACTGGATGGGTTTTGGAGCTTCTGCATCTACCCTTTTTCTCTTTTTATACATCCCACCTCTTGGTAATTTTGCAGTACATCCTGGTTGCTTCCAAACTACTAATACATTTTCCAGCTATACCCTTTCTGCTACTCTATTTAGTTTTTCATTTTAAAGATTAAGAGGGTGGGACTGTTCTTAGTGATGAAGGTCATCAGTGTATCTAGGATAAGCACTCTTCGGATTACTGTTAGCCTTTGCTTCATTTCCAGAGTTCAGAAAAATTGATTTTGATAATTTTGCCAGTTGTTTTCTTTTTTTCTTTCATTGTATTTATTTATTTATTTGTTATTTATTTATTTATTTTATTTATTTTGCAGTACTAAGGATTGAACTCAGAACCTTGTGTTTGCAGGGCATGGTGGTGCACGCCTGTAATCCCAGCACTTGGGAGGCTGAGGCAGGAGGATCGCTGTGAGTTCAAGATCAGCCTGGGCTACACAGTGAGCTCCAGGTCAGTCTCAACCACATAGTGAGACCCTGTCTCAAAAAAACAACAAAAAAAGAGCTACTACTAATTACTTCTCAATAATATTAATTACTTTGAACAAGCTTTTTTTTTTGAGGCAGGATCTTGCCCCCCACACACACACTGTCAGACCTCCTGACTGTGCCACTCTTTGGACCCACTCTGCAGAGACAGAGGTGGTCATCAAGGGTATTTTTCTGAGTTCCCAACTTTGAACATCTTTAAAGAAAGGGCGTGGGGAACCTGTAATAGAACGTTGTGGAGTTCAACCATTCAGAAGGTTGGGGAACTCAATCTGGGCCTTGCAGCCCGAGGTCAGTCAGAGTCATGGGGTTCAGCCATCAGCTAACTGAGACCAGGGGTCTTGCATCCTTGCTCTGTCTGAGCCATTAAATGGTAAATACACCATATTGAAATTTTGTTGACTGCAGACATGTTCTGGACTGCTTCTTGATTTCAATTTAATTCAAATGATTTAAGGATGATAGACTAGTGACTACCACAGGTGGTCAGTGTCCAAGGTGTGCTTGATCTTAATGTGTTGCTGATTGTATCAGTTGGGATAAAGCATTGCGGTTGATTTGATGAGCTGTTTCTCTGATGTTATGAAGTTGAGAATGTCTGTGGGTCATTAGTGGCACAGAAGCTAGGGCGCAACTATATCAGGAAGATTTGGGTGATAATCCAGAGATTAAACCAAGGACAGTCCAACAACAAAAATAAAAATGAGAAAACACTTAAGCAAGACACAAGGACAGACTTCCAGTTCACCAATGGCAAACAGTAGGGCAAATGAGGATGAAAAGGCCGATAGCGAACCACCAGGACACCCTGAACTCAAAGCACAGGAAGTAACAAAACAGATCAATCAGGCTCTAGAAAAATTCAAAACAGAAATAATTTCCCAGATAACCATAGAGATAGTGAGCAAAATGGAAGCTGTGATTCGAGACTCTAGAGCAGAAACTGACAAAAAAATAGATGAACTCAGGACCATGATAGAAGCCATGAAGGCCCAGCATAAGAAAGAAATGGAAACAATAAACGCCCAACATAGGAAAGAAATGGAATCCATAAAACAGATTCAAACAGATATCCAGGAGATTAAACACTCCATAGAAAGTGTATGCAACAGAATAAAAGAATGCGAAGATAGACTCTCAGATATAGAAGATAAGATTACAGTGACCATAAAAAGAGAGATCTCTTAAAAACAGTAAGGGATCATGAGAAATTGATCCAACAACTCCTAGATGATGCCAAGAAGAATAACATAAGACTGATAGGAATACATGAAGTAGCAGGAGAAAATACAAATGACTTTTAAAAAGCTGTTTGCAGAATTAATGACAGAAAACTTCCCAAACAGAGGGGAAGAATTTGACATTCAGATAACTGAGGCATATAGGACCCCAACTAGCTACAATAAAAAAAAAAA